TTTGACCTGGGTTGGGCAGAGTTGGTAGGAAGAGCTCACAAAACTTCACAGAAACATTTCCCCCTCATCTTCTCCCTGCCTTCCTACTGCAGGGATATGCTCCACCACCCAAGAATGGGATTGAACAGAAGCGACCTGGGCGGCCATTGAATATTACATCTCTAGTTCGCTTATCATCAGCAGTGCCAAATCAGATTTCCATTTCTTGGGCATCTGAAATTGGAAAGGTGAGTTCTGAGCTCGTAGTAGCATGTGGTGAGTGCTCTGAGTTATCTTGGTGAGTAGTATTCCTTTTTTCATCTTCATTGTTGCTATCAAGACATGTGCTAACCAAGATACTTCTCATGCTCCTTCATTCTGTCTTCTGATCTGTGCCATTTAGAAGCTTAAACAGTTTGCTGGAAATGCTACTTACAGAAAAGTTCTCTACACCAGGGGTGCCCCGATAAAGATTTTCTTGACTGGTATTGATAGCCAAGTATTAATCAGTCATATTGATTAATAGATACCAATCTGATAGCCGATTTAGAGGAATGCAGTCATACGGCTTGGAGAGCAGCATTCTACAGGTAAGTCTGTGAGGGACAGGGTGTTGGGAGGCAGGGTAGGGAGGGGGGCAGGTGCAGGTGAATGGGACCCCAGTGTGGGACACAGGATGGAGCTGCAGGTGGCTCATCTGTGGGGGAGAGCAGGCAGCAGTGGCTCCCCACTGCCACGCACACTCCTGGGGGAGGCATGGGGGGCACATCCCCAGACTTGTGTGCAGGGTGAAGCTAAGCTGCGGGCTCGGGGCCAGGGCTGTGCCAGCCTCTTCCCGGTGGGGGGCCTGGGCTGGGAGTGGGGCAGGCTCAGCTGTGTGTGGAGGGCAGTGGTGGTGCTGGGAGGGGTGGCTATGGGAATGTTGGGGTGGCTATAACCACCCCCACCCCAGCCCCTGCTCAGGGCACTCCGCTCTGCTGCTGTTCCCTCAGGAGCCCCCCATTGGCCACACACCCCCTACCTGCCCTGCAGTGGGGGGCTCCTGAGGGAACGGGAGCAGAGCAGTGTGTCCTGACAGGGACAGCGCTGGGGAGGACTGAGGGGGGCTGAGTGCCCCGAGGAGGAGTGGCAGTTGATGGGGCTGCCACCCCAAAATTCCCTGTAGCCACCCCTCCCAGCACTACCACCACCTGCCCTAACCCACTCCCTTCCCCTTCCCTTCCCTCCCCCTTCCTGCCAGGAAGAGGCTGGTGCAGCCCATGAGCCTGCAGTAGGCAGCCTGCCATCGCCCCATGCACAAATCTGGTACATGACCCCTTGCCTCCCCTGGGGGTGCACGCAGTGGCAGGTAGCCACCCGCAGCTCTGTCCCTCTGCCCTGGGATCCCATTCACCGGCCTGGCTGGGCAGTCCCTGCCACTGCCCCACTTCCTCCTCCACTGTGAGGACCACAATCTGCCCCTCCCCCCCTTCCCCCCCAGACTTATTGGCAGGACATTGCTCTCCAAGCTGCTGGGCTGCATTCCTGGCCACGTGCATGCTGCAGCTGCATGCAGGCACGTAGCATTTATTGGTAACATTATCGGCTACACTGGCCAAAAAAAGCGATGGCCGATTTAATGCTAATTTTCCTTTTATTGGTGCTGATTTGATACATGACTGATATATTGGTACATCTCTACCCTACACCTTTACAGAGTCAAAGACACAAAAGTCCCATGGAAGTTTCTGACAAAATTCCTGATGTATTTGGCATCAGCGTTGACCTAAACTTTCTTACATATCTGCTTCTTTTGGAATTGCTTTGTTCTAGAGGTAAGACCCAAAGCAAAAGAGATACTTAAGCCACAGACAACAAATCAGTGAAAGGGGCACTAGTTTCTCAGCCTGGTGACCAGTTGTGTGATAAAGCAAATGCTCTGCAGCATTCAGAATGCAGAAATCAATTGGAGAAGGATCAGCCTTTTGAGAGAGACCAGTGCTCCTTTGGCTGTATGAATGTGGAGGGAGACTTGCATTTATTTCCAGATTTTAGTTTTTCCTCCTGAATGCTGTTTCTTCCCAAAGACCCAAGAGTTCTAGGGGTTTTTTGTATGCTCCTTTCCAAACAACTTCACTTGACCAAAAAGAATAATCGGAGTACTCAAAAACTAGTACTCATATAAGAAAATTGGTGGACTCTACAGCTGTTCTTGTAAATAAAAATAAGACAGCAGGACCATTTGTTGCTGAAGCTCTGCGTGTGTTTGTACAAGATTGTAAGGAGCAGCATATCCTTTTGTTGCAAATGAAGCTGACCTTGTAACTTGCTAAGTGATACGGGGATTTTAAGTACAAGTGCATCAAAGATGAAACAGAGAGTAAAAAAAAGGAGATAGCACAAAGCATGTGCTACACACATTTGTATATATCCAAAGCTTGCGTAGCTTCTGGTAGAAAGATAATGCACTTTGGATAACAGACTTCAGGGAGGAAAGGGGGCAGACGGTATCCAATGTTAGGCACCCTTTGGGTGTGGATAAACTGCTTGACTTTTAAAAACAGTTAAGAGTTCATACTAGTCAAAGTGGTTAAAAGAGAATCTCTTAGAGACATTGTGGATGAATTAAGTAAAAAGAAAAGTGGGTCTTTAATCAAGGAAAGAAAGCGAGAATAGTGTCTGTAAGGATAATTGGCGGCTCTTAAATCTGTTTTTTGACAAGAAAGGTAAAGGAGAAACAGTTTGGACATCTAGGAGATGAAGCGGGGGGAGAAAGCAGATTTGAGTAAGCAAGTCATGGGTTCTACTTATGTTTTATGGGGTTGCTTGAACATGTCAATCCTCTTTCTGCTGTAGTGGTTCCCAAATTCCCTCCTGCAAGTTCTCACATTTGCCAGCATTTAAGGTCTACACTGACAACTTACAGGCTGCAATTTTAAGCACATGTTTAAGTGTTTGCTGTCCAAGGCCCAGGCACATGTGAATTGCACCTTTAAAATGTAACATGTTAATCGCACCATAAATAGTAAGTGCTACATGTGCAGCTGATTTATGGTACTATAGTGGCAAACCAGCCACAGAGATGTTCCACAAACCATGTGAACCATCTTTGTGGCTCCTACTTAAATTAAATAAAATGTGTAGCATGCCCCATGTCTGTGCTGACGATCATTGGGATGGGGGTCAGTATCAGGGCTGGGGCAGCCCCTGTCCTGATGATGAAAACAGGCTTCTGGGGGAGCAGGTTTCAAGGTTACCTGGGGGTGGGGAAGCAGAGGAGCTCCTTCCCCAACTCGGCAACCCCTGTGTCCAGCAGTCTTTTCTTTCTTGATTTGTCCTACAGGCCTTGCAGGGCAGGGCACTTTTTAAAATGCTGGGTCATGAGTCCTGGGGAGCAAGGCACTTTAGACATCCCGGCCATGGGGACACCAGGATTAGGTAGCCTCTCCTCAATCTTGGTCATCATGTACCAGGGATGCCTAAAAGCCAGCTGTGCTGGGTGATGCAGACAGTGTGATACAGATCTAATCCCCAGTCTCATCAAAGCACATAGGGCATAGCAGGAGGCCCAGCTGTTGGGATGGGAGGTCCAATCCCATCACGCCATAAAGTGAACATCTGCCAGGCCCATGAAAGTCAGTGTTCAGCATCTTCAAAAAGTGTCTTGATGCCTGCCTTGCTGGGGTCATCTGACCCCAGCAGTCTTTCCTGCACAAATGCAGAGGGGTGGACCTGATGATCTTGTAAGGTTCCTTTTAGCCCCTAACATCTATGAATCTTGCAGGACTGAGCCCTGGATATGTTGGCTGATTCAAGATCTCTGCTATAAAACTCAAAAACCTTTCTTAGCAGTGGTTTGTATTATCAAAGAGCATCTCCTCCATGATCACAATTTTTCATAATGCCTTTGTGCCATCAGTGATGAGGGGAAGAATGCAGTGAGCAGAACTAAATAAATAGGGACCTTTTGCAACTGCATACCTACAGGAGGTAAGTGATGAGGTCTGGTATTTGTTTTGAACTAGATACAAAAACAGCTGTCTGAAATACTACTCTCTCTCTTGTGTGTGTGTGCTCTTATCATAAATATGCTGACAAATTGGAAGACGTTTGGAGGAGAGATCAGAAATTAGTTAAAGGCCTAAAGTGTGTAGTGTTTAGTTTTGAAGAAAAATTTAGAGGTACACACTGTTTAGCTTGGCTAAATGAAAACTAAGTGAGGTAATATGCCATTGAATGTTGGCAGGGCATGGATCTAGAGGAAGGATTGATACTTAGCTTAGGGAAACCTAAGTATGATGAGGAAATGTAGGCAGTTTGGATGGAGAAAAGTTAGGCAGTACTATGAAAAAATATTGAGAACTTAGTTTCATAGTTTCTAGGGTCGGAAGGGACCTGAGCAGATCATCTAGTCGGACCCCTGCCATGGCAGGAAAGAGTACTGGGGTCAAACGACCCCAGCAAGGTGTACATCTAGCCTCCTCTTAAAGACCCCCAAGGTAGGAGCCAGCACCACTTCTCTTGGAAGTTGGTTCCAGATCCTAGCCGCCCTGACCGTGAAGTAGCGCCTCTTGATATCTAGCCTAAACTTTTAGGTGGAGAAATCACTTTCCATGTAAAATAGTGGAATCCAACTTGTGCATAGAGCCCAATAGAGGAGACACAAACTAATTGTCTTGTATAGTCTGCCACTGGATTGGAAATGGAGTACACAGCATAAATGTTCTCTTTAATATCCATTTTACTACTAGCAAATAGTAACAGGAAGTCCCCTCCTGACCACCCTTTATGTCTACTGAAGGACACTTTGAATATTAGCATGTCATTTTGGGAGCCCTCTAAAAGGAATGGGAGCCCTCTAAAAGGAAGTAGGTGAAAGTAATAGCATTTTCTATAAACTATCCACCAATTGCTGTATTTAGGAGAAGCATGCTTTTGGACAGACCAATGTAAGTTATGGGTCACCTTTTTTTAATTTCCTACTAGGAAGTTGAGAGTTGCAGAACTTGAGATAAAGCCAATTTCCCCATCTAGCAGCATGATTTCAGTGGCTTTAAATGTTGCAGTGCCAACATTTTTGGTGACCAGTGGGATTTTTTTGCCCAATTGAAGCAGATTAGAAATATTTATAGAAATAATTTGAAAGTGTGATTTAATTTATTATAATAAATGTAGTATAATTCTAGTAGTTTGTTTTAAATGGCCTAGTACTGTATTGTGAAGTGTGTTGTTGCATTAAGTAAAAGCAGAACGTTTCATAGATTTCATAGACATTAGGGCTGGAAGGG